TTCCGCCCCCTCCTCCCTCCCATTCTCTGCACCTTAGCCTCCCAACCCTCCTCTGTGCGCCCCGCCTCTGCCCTCTACCCTCCCTCCCCCCAGCCCCAGTGCTCCAAGACTGCAGGGCTTCCTGCCCTTTTCTCTGCTTGCCAGCCAGTTGGGGGCAGGTTGGTTTGCAGTGAGCCCACCAAAATCACGAGGCCTGCCATTTTTCAAAGCACCCCCCAAATTACCGGTTTCCATGAAAACTGCACAGGCGCAAATCCAGTAGGTCCCTAACCATAATATACAGTTGAATAGGTGAATCCAGAGCTGGAGTTTGTCCCTGAAGAGAGAGTGCTACCAGCCACATCTTCATGGAGAAAGCACACAAAACTTTCTGACATCAGCAAGACAGTACTGGATGGAGAAAGTGCATAGGAAACCTGGCATAAAAACCCAATCCCAAACATGGCACCATGCCCCAACCACAGCCAAAGTCAATGAACCACGGAAAACTTGCCCCAAGCCGGCATGAGGGAGAACAACCCAGCCCAGCCACATTCTGCTGTGGGATCAGCACCACAGCCCAGCTCCCCAAAACAGAAGGGGCCAATTTTAAGAGCACTCAGGTTCCAAGCTCATATGAATTGGTCACTGCAATGGGAACAAGGCTAAGACCTGGCATTTTGTTTTCCTGGATTCCTTCTTTCCTCTTCTCCCTCCTACTATCTTTCTTCTTGATTAGGATTCAGCTGGGGCAGGGTTAGAAGGGCTCTCAAAGACAGTGCAAGATTCCCCACTTGCAGCAAGGAGGCAGCAGACATTAAGTAAACTCAAGTGACTCCTGGTCACTGGGACTCAGAATTCTTTGGCTCTTTGCATCTTGGTGCTACTGGTTTACCTTTGTCAGAAGGGATTAAGTAGCAGATGAATAAAGAAGACGAATTGGTTTGGCAAAGAGAGATAACCCAACTTCAGGACTGTACATTGGCGCACCAAGAACTGAAGGAAGGGACCAAACAAGCATGCAGACAATGCACTGTGGTGGTCTCAGCAATGTTATCAACAATGCAAGAGACAAATCCTCAGATCATTTAATCCTTTTATAAAATGTAATTTCTAAAGCAGGTGTATGCATGGGGTTCACTTCTTGATACCCTAACACCACTTTTGCAGCATAGTTAAAATCAAGGGATTTTTCTTACGTTCAAGCAGCACCACGCTTCTTCCCCCTCCATCATATTTCTTCCATTCTACTCCTATTCTCAAGAGCTCCATGCTCCCCAATATGTCTCCTTTTACTCCCTGGATTCCAAGATGCTCAAGACACAACTCACTAAATTTCCAGAGGCCAATATCTCCCATTCTTCTTCCACTCTAGGATTTCTGAAGACACTTTAAAGGATAAGGGGATTAATGATTTGGAATCTCTGAGAAGCTTTTTGCTACATTATTTTTATACAGCATTTCAATTTATCCTTACATGGTTTTAAATTTTTTGTAAATAGCTGAGGCTCTATTAGTTCAAAAGAGAAATATTGTCCAACACAAGGCTCAATTATCAAGAGATGTGTGTTGGCTTTTGTAAAGGAAACAGCAGACAGCAAAGACTTTTGGCTCCCTATGCTAGAAGCATCCATTTATATTAATCAATTTTTGACTGGGAAATGTTTTCCATTTCAGTCCTTGGGACAAGTTCTTCACTGAAGTTAACATTCAGCACATAAGCAATAGTTTTCATTTTCAAAGTACTCCGCAAACAATAATCTTCTGCCCTCCCACAAGATTGCCTCATTATACAGATGGTAGAAGTGAGGCAGAGGTTAATGGCTTCTTTAAGTGTACAGGGAGAGCTACTAAGCTTAAAAAAGGTTCCTGGCTCCCTAGCTTAAAGTAGAAGTGGAACAATTCCTTTTTGTTCCCTTAAAAAGTTTTCATCACAAATTATCAAAATGGTGCGTGGTCTCCTAATAACAATGGAGCTACATTCTTGCTGGCAACAAACACAGCCTGTGGTTTTATTTTGCATTTGTCTTCACTCACCCGTAACGGCATCATAAAACTCTTCTTCACTATTCATCCTTCAGTATGAAATTTCTGCACCAGTCTGGCTTCGTCTAATGCATCGTTGTGCCAGATTTAGAGATTAAATGTTCGTGTGCTGTGGAATGCTTCCTGCGTAGATACCAAGTCACTCTGGAAGATCTGTTTGAGAAGAAAATGAAAAAAATTAGTGTTTTCACTTTATTTTGGAAAGAACTAAAAAGTACGTAAAACCTTCATCTTCTCCATCTCTGCACAAGTGTAAGCCTAAACACTTGAATCTTTGTGTTTGCATCTACTAGCATTTAAGAACAACTGGTGGGTGGAGAGAGAGATAGTAAGTAGTTTTCTTTAGCAGCAAAAAGAAATTATTCTTAAGATGAGAAATACAGCATCAATTCCTTTAAGAAATTGTAGAAGAGCTGAGGGAAGAGATACCCAGTAAACAGTTGCCTTTAAAAACAAATCATTCTAAGATGGGCAATGCAGCACCATTTATCTATCTGCTGTAAGGAATAACAGAAGGATGCATCTGCACTTCCACTTTCTCCCTGTGATAGGATATATGAATTTCAGGCACACACAAGCCAAACCATATGCTGTCTATTGCCTTGATGTTTAAAGCATTTGGGGAAAACAGTTCACTCTGCAAGCTACAAAGAGAGAGAGATTCTAATCCATTTTTTAATTTACTTGCATGTACTTTAAAAATGTGGTCAGAAGGGAAGTCAGGTCTCACACAGAGGATGGAAGTAAGTGAAGGAAGATCCACGAATGTGTCAGACAGAAGAAAGATTGTTCACTCTGGAGAAAATGAAAGCAGCACCCCTCACAACCAACTCTGGAGGGAGCAAGGAAGAGAGTTACTCTCAGTCACCATCCCAGAACCTCGCTGCTGTCAAAACGCAGAAAGACTTCTAGGTCATGTAACCTGTTTCACTCTCTGGGGGCATGGAAAGGAGAGCAGTTTGTCAGCCACTGTTACAACGGACCTTGCACACACTGGCTCTAAATTAGGATAGAATCAGCTGTCTTTGGGTAGCAATCAGGGCTCATGGTAGAGTTGATATCTCTTATTAGACCAACAAGATTTTTGCAAAAAAAAAAAAAAAAATGTCTTTAATTGCGACCTTTTGGGCACAAACATCCTTCATCAGGCATTGGATAAAAGACTGTAAAAATTTCTCCTGGGTAGAAATGAAAGTTTATGTATTTACCAAGCAGGAAGCAACTGTGACCACCTGAAACCTGAGATAGTGCTCCTGCCTTGGTCCAAAGCAATTTGCATCATCACAGAGCCTCAAAAGAGAACTGAGAGACTCCTTACCAGCTAAGAACTGCCTGCCCAGAAGAGCTTTCTATCTACTGACTCCTCTGTGAAATCCTAGAAAATATGAACTTTCATTTCTACCCAGGAAGACTTTTACAATCTTTTCTCTGATGCCTCATGAAGGGTGTTTGTGCCCAAAAGGTTGCAATTAAAAGACATTTTTTTTGCAAAAATCTTGTTGGTCTAACAAAAGATATCAGTTCTACCATGAGCCCAGACTGCTTTTTCCTCTAGTCTACACCAATACAGCTACAGCCCAGATACCTGTCCTTGGGTAGTGAATTTGAAGGGAAACAGTGCCATTCTCTCCCACACGCTGCAGCCAAGCCACAAATACATAAACTCACCACACAGATTATAAATTTATCCCAGGTGCTGTGTGTTATGTATCCAAAACGTTCTCACTTCACTCAACATCATTTTAGTCAAAGCAAAAAAAACAGCACTTAATTGAGAAGTTTCCATAATCATGAGTGCGCTCGTCCAAGCATCCGTTAAGTAATCAAGCATGTACTACATTACTGCTGTATACTGGCACTACATCATCCTCTAAACCAGTGGTGCCCAAACTTTTTTGATCGCGCACCCCTATCAGTAGAAAATTTGAGCATGCACCCCCAACATATGTATATTTATATAAATAGAAGTTCTAATATTTTCTTCCCACACCCCAATGGATAGTCTTGAGCACCCCACTTTGGAGACCACTGCTCTAAACAAGTTGGAATGAGAAATCCCGATTATTCCTGGCCATTATACTCCCTTCTTCATCTTATGCAATAGTAGCAGTTTTCTAGGAATAGTCTCACTCAGGCCAGTCATTCCATTCTAACAAAAGCTCCTGACATCCTATCCATGGCCATAACTTGCCTTATCCTGAGATATTTATTTCCCTGTCACATAAGATTTGGTTCCTGCAATGGCTCCAACTGCCTTTCAAACCCCTGTATCTTGTTTTTCAGAAAGAAACAGTCTGTGTGCAGGGACTTCCTCTCGCTCTTCCTTCAGAAAGAGTAACTTCTGCTGTGGAAACATTTTAGCCCAGTAGCATCCCGTGTCCCATTTAGCTGTCAAAGGCTTTGCTCTCTTTCCCGAAGCTTTCCCTCCTATCTCTCACTGTTGAGTCTTGGGCCTTGATATCCATCTTCGCATAACCCAATACTCAATACTCACAATCACCCCTTACAGCCTCCACAAAAGTTTTAAAGGTGACACACCCTTAGCACGGTTTATTTATAGTGTCTTATCACTAAGTTCAAAACTCGTGGTAGCTGCTGATTTTTTATGAAGCGATTACAACAGAAATTAAACAAGTCAGACTACTTCTCCCTTCTCTCTTTTCCTGTGTTTTGCTCCCTTGCCTAGTCACTGGCCTTTATACCTGCTGTAGCTCCACTGGTTATCAACTGCTCACAGCTACCAGCTGCTCAGTGCTATCAAACAAAGTCTCAAAACATGGCCAAGCTGCAGTCGGTATTTTCAGACTGTTGTGGAAATGCAAGAAGGCACTGAGCAAAATGCAACAGCTCACTATAAAAAATAAATCAATCCAAGGGCAAAATTCAATGAAGCCAAGTACACAGGATGAAACTTCACTAAGAGCAGAAAGAAACTTCACTATTGAAATGTGAAGGGCCAACAAAAGGCCGTAAAGAAGCCTCAGCCCACTAGAAGCAGGAGCTGAACTACGACTGAGTTTACCTTAAATAATCCCTCTCTACACCCCACAACTTTAGCAATATCTGTGTTTACTATCTGAGAGAGAGTAAGACAGTTTCATTTATATCACAAGAAATCAAATGCAAATTTCAGTATTGTCACACACATACAACTCGAGAAGGCAATAAAAAGCAGTGATGGAAATTACTTTAACCTATAATTTCCAGTCCTCTTACTGTATCGGGTGCTTTCCAAAAAAAAAAAAAGAAGAAAAAAGTAGTAATGTATAAGTGTAACATGCATTACTTCAGGAACCTTAACTGCAAATCTCCCAAATTTGTGTGGCAATAGAAAGGTTACTAACATAATATATTATTTTGCTAAACCCAGCAACATGTTACTTGGTGGTTTTATTTATTTATAATGTGAATATAATATGTTTATATATTGATATACAAACACACTTTCCTTATTATGAATACTCTCTTTCCTTGTGACCAAGTAAATAGAGTTTGTAGAAGTTCTTTTTTGTGAAGCATTCTCTCACTTTTTTGTATTGCCAGTGCCTAAACAGATGATCCTGGCTTAATGCCTACCTAGCTGGGATCATTTGAGCCCAGTTTTTTCTCCTGCCCTGGCAGGGGGTCGGACTTGAAGATCTATAAGGTCCCTTCCGACCCTACTTCTCTGATTCTATGATTTTGTATGACACACCTTGCTCAAGACCTTAATTAAATACACAAGTCAGAGACCTTTCAAAAAGTGATACACAAATTGTTAAATGTTTACACAGTGTGGCCTCCAGAGTCATTTTGCCCTGTACATACACAACCTGAAAGGTCAAAAAGGGAAGGCAAAGAAGAAATCTACATTTCAAATTAAATCCAGACCAAGTTTCCCCATAAAGGCCTTAGCATGCACATGAAAATGAACATAATTTATTTGCACAGTTGGGGGCATGAACAGGTACTTAGAGGGAAAATATTCATTTATATGTACCACTGTGTTCACTGCCTGAGCAGAGACTTGGGTCTCTAGACAACAGCTATGGCTCCAAGTCAGTAACTCAAATTATTTTAAAACTTCTTCCTGCAGTAAAACAAACCAAAATAAAAAGGTTCTCACATCTGTTGCAAACAGCATGCCTGTCAGCTCGCATCCTGCTCTCATCCAGGTACTCTCTCTTAATCTGACTCTCCTCCATGTTACTCTGTTCTTTGCCACACCTTTGCTCTCACCACTTCCCCACCCCTCCGACCCTTTTGCCATCCTCAATAGGTAGAATATGATCCTTATTCTGCCCCCATGTATGCAGCCTGCCTGAACTGTAAATGGGAGCGAACCATTACACACTGCATCACGTGTTGTCCTTCATGCTGCCCCACCCTATTTAGAATGTGGGTGTGTAACGTTTGCAAACAGGCACTACATACCCTGTGCTTGCTGCCCCTGTTCTTGGTATGGGGCCTTTTTTGTAAGATCAGTCTCTTTTAACAAGATAAAGACCTCTGCTGTCAGCACGTCATTAAAATAAGTAATAAGAATATATTTTTCTTCCACCAAAACAGATACGAGACATGGATGTGCAAAGTCTTCCAAGAGTATTTGTCGGCTGCAAACTGACACAGGTCTATTTGCCAGCAGCCCAGTACATCTGTGAACAGACCCCAATAGCATTTATTTTTTATATAAACCCCAAGACATAAGTTTCGGGGGGGGGGGGGGGGGGGGGGTTTTTTTTTTTGGGGAATTT